CAGCCTTATACCCAGCCTAACACAACTCTACTGGTGCTGTGCAGGTCAGATGGCCAGTGGCTCCTTGAAAGCCACATCTTCCTTTCTTAATTCCAGGATGGTTCCTATTATACCTAAAAGGGCTGTGTGAAGCTTCCGTCCCTGATTCGATTCAGTGGAGATTCAGCCCAGTTCGGTGGCTGAATCTCCAAATTGATTCAGGAGACCCTTTAATCCCTCCAGATTGAATCGGAACCCTCCAAATTGATTTGGAGAGATTCAGAAAGATTCGGCGATTTGGATATAGACACAGCTTTAAATGTTTTTTCTACATACCTCAAGGTACCAGGCGGCTCATGAATGCTATGATACTGGGGCAGATGAAGCACCACACAGAAGCATGGGGCCCCCCCAGCACACTCGGCAGCAGACCTGGAAGTGGACTAGAAACACTTCTAGTCCGCTTCCAGGTCCACTGGGGAGCGTGCTGTGTGGCCCCTGCACCCTCCCAGCTCAGTGACTGGTGCCTTCTGGGTCTGGGGGGACACCCAGGGTCTCCCCGTGGCTGATCGCCAAGCCAGGGGGTGCAGGGATGTCCCCCTGTGCACTCGGTGGTGGACCCAGAAGTGGACCAGAAGTACTTTTGCGCTCGGCCCCCCTGCATTCGGCCAGAAGTGGACTGGCCCCCCTGCACTCTTGTGGGACGATCCATCTGCCCCAGCATCGCAGCGTTCACAAGCTGCTCCTGGTACCTCAGGGTATGTAGAAAAAATATTTAAAGCTGCGTCTATGGCTGAATTGCTGATTCTCCGAATCAGCATCAAATCTTCAGTAAAAGGCCAGACTGCTACGTTTTGACAATGTAATGCAAGGTAAATAGTAGGGCTGAGCGAAACAGCACCATTCCATTTCGACTTGCGTTTTGAGGCTTCAATGGAACAGCATTTCATTTTGAATTTCATTTCTATTCGAAACTACTGTTTCATTTCGTTTCATTGAAACAGTGACGCTGTTTCAACGTTTCGCCCATAGGCTATAATGGGGAAGCTCGAAACAGGCTCTCTTATCCAGCAGACAGATTGGGGGCCTGCAACCCTGGGAGGGCTGCGGGGCCTGTGCCTTTCCTCCCGGGGTTGCGGGCCTCCGATCTGCCTCCAGATGAGGGAGGGAAGCCGGGTGCTGGGGAGGGAAGCCAGGAGGGAAAGAAACTAAGCCCAGCTGACCTGAGTTCCCTAGCCCGATTGTTGCCTTCCCCAGGCTGATCCTAGTGTTAGGAAAGGGAACTCAGCTCAGCTGGGCTGAGTTGCCTTCCTCAGCCCGATCATAGTGCTGGGGATGGGAACGCAGCTCAGCTGGGCTCAGTTCCCTTCCCCAGCCCGACTAAAGCGCTGGGGAGGGGAACTAAGCCTGGGCTCAGTTCCTTTCCCCTGCACTGCGATTGGCTTCTCGCAGCCCGGCCATGGGAGGTGGGGAGAGGCAGGGATGCGCTCTCACCTGGCTGAGCCACGTGGGGCCGTGGAGCCTCTGGGAGTGCAGCCCTGGTTCTTCCCTGCCTCCCACCACCTGGCTGCTGGCTGCTTCGAAACTTTCAAAATGTTTTGACTAGCCTTGTTTTGTTTCAAAGCTGTTTTGAAGCCCTTCATTTCGTTTTGATTTTGCTGTTTCAAACTCTAAATGAGTCGAAACAGCATTGAAACAAAACAGCCAGCGAAATTTCGCACAGCCCTATTAAATAGTGCATACATGACATTTCAGCATGGGTAGTAAGCCACAGACTTAAGGGATTAGATGATGCTCTAAGATGCAATAAAAATAATTTTCTTTGATATATCATCTATAGAATCATTTATGGGGTTGTCTTAATCACATCAAAGGCATTTATCAATGTGCTTCCAACATCTAGAGCTATGCTTATATAATTTACTTATTAAAGAGAAGTGCTATAACAGTGTTAAATATTCCAGTATTTCCCTGTCCCAAATTTAAAAATACCATAGCATGGTAGAATAAAGATCTCTCACACTACCATTTAGAAGAGTGACATTTCCCTATTACCCCAACAGACATACACCTCTGGGCTAGCCTTAATGTTATTTCCTAAGATTTGCAACAATGTGTATAATGGTCAAGAATACCCAAACAAATTTTAAAACCTTATCTTTTATTGAAAGGGTCCATTTCCAATAACAGAGCTAGATCTAGAATTTAGAAAAGGGAGGGGGAGAGTGCAGATGGTGAGGTGCATCATCACATATAAAACAACACTTAATTGTCTCTAATTAAAAATAAACTAGAGGCTTTACTAGTATGCCAGGGGCCTAGGGCTGTATTGTTCAATCTAGAAGTGAAGTAAAAACAAATATAACTTCATTGGTATGAGTTAAAAATAATCTGCAGCACTGTAAAATAGGAGCAGCTAACAGACAGCAGCACTTCAGAACAAAGAATAGCTTGACTGGTGGAACATCAAATCCATTTTAAAAAGAGACGGTCATTAACACCTGTAGAAGTAAGAGTTTAGAAGGGATCAGGTAGATTATAATATGCCATGAAGTCAATTGACTCCCTCAGCACTGCCTGACTAGAAATGCCTCTGCCAGGCAGTTAGTTTTAAACTTTGGGTGAAGCAGGAATCAAAGTGGGGTGCAAGTGCACTAGTGCACCCCTCTACCTCCCCAATCCCTCTCTGAAGTTCTGATCATGCAGATGAAAGCCACACGGGCAGAAGAGTATATCAATATGAATGCTGTTATAAAATCAGGGCCTTCCTTGTCACAAAAAAAAAAAAATCCTCCTTTAGTTACTGACTACTAATACATTCGCTACTAAAAATTTGCAAGGTCTACTGTGTCTTTGTGAGCTTATTCTGCCATATGAGCAACATATGGCAGAGCTCTCCAAGAGCAAAGAATCATTTATTAAAATGTTCTTTCTCCAGCCCATCAAATTAAGAAAAAAATTACAGTAGTCTCATATAATGTAAATAGAAAAGGAAGGGATTTCCTGGGTCATCAAGTCTAGTCCCCTGCCCTTATGAGCAACTACATTATATAATCCTGTTCAAAAATTTGTCATGTCCCATCTTAAAAACAACTAAATGTTTTATGCCCTCACTATTCCAACTGTAAGTCTGTTGTAGAATCCCTGATATCTGGAGACCACCTTCTAATTTCCAACCTTAAAGTATCCATTGCTGGTTTATGCCCATTTGTTCTTGTGCCAGCATTGCACTTTATCTTAAATAGCTTTTTCTCTATCCCTTGCTACAGACTTATGTGCACTATATTGCTTGCAAAAATGTTATGACATATTAAATAAACATGATATAAAATCAACAGATACTAAACAGCATAGCATAGGTCCAAGTCAAAGGAACAAAGTTAATATCAGATAGGCAATGTAAACCCAATGGAGTTACAGTGCAGATGCAAAACACAGTTATTATGGAGTCAGACCAGCTGGCTGCTTGGGAAGTAGGCACTAGTAGTGACTAGGTGGTAGGGAAGCTATTTTGCAATTGAGCAAATGACTGTCCCAGGTTTGGACCAAGGGAGCAGCCATACATGTTCCACATAGTGACATTCCTACACAGTAAAGTTTCTACATAGTTTTTTCAACAACCGATTTAGCTTTGGATTCAAGTAGGGCTGTCCAAATAGCCTGTGATGGGTTAAATTACCACCCCTGGACTCCCACCCAGCCACTGCTACCCCATTGTCTGGCTGGGGACTCCAGGCTCCCCTTCCTCCTGGTTTCCCCTTCCCACCCCAGCAGGCAGGGTAGTACAACATTCAGTGCCAGGTTAGCCCACAGCCTGTGATGCCTGAGTGGTGTGGTGCAGTGGGGGAACTCAGGCATAAGAAGCCACAGGTGAGTCAGGTGCTTGGATGCACAGTGCAGCTGGGGTGTGTGGGTAGCAGAAAAGAGGCTGAGGTGCCCAGTACAGCAGGGAGGCTTGGGGAGCAGCAGCAGGGGGGGTGCTTCGTACAGCAGCATAGCACCTGGGAGCATGGTGTAGCAGGGGAGGTACAGTGGGAAGACATCCTGCATGCAGTGCAAGTGGGGATACCTGGGCATGGGGTGCAGCCACACTAGGCCATGCAGTACAGCGTGGGGGTGGCATGTAGCCTCAAGGGCCCACACCCCACACTGGGCAGTCCCCAGCTACTTCAAAGTTGAACACTGTGGTTCAAGTACTTTACGTTGCAAAGCTGCGTCACAAGCCTACTCCACTTCTACTGAGCCCTAAAGTAGTAAATGTCACCAATGCACACCCAAGAGAAACACATGGGTTCCCTGTTCACTTCCCCATTTGCCAAGAATTGTATCAGGTTGGCTTGGATGTGACCTGGCTCTCTCAGTTCCAAGCATCCTTCCCACCCGAGAACACAGTCGTGGCTAGCAAAGGGGCATTTCCCTTGCAGGCTGGGCTGTTTGCAAGATCTGGAGCACTGCTGGTGAAACTTGGCCCCTACTGAACTCAGGGGCAAAATCCCTATGAAGTCAGACAAGACAAATCATAGAAAATTAAGATTGGAAGAGACCTCAGGAGGTGATCTAGTTCAACCTCTGCTCACCCAACTAGTTCATCCCAGCCAAAGCTTTGTCTAACCAGGTTTTGAAAACCCCCAAGGATGAAGAGTTCACAACCTCTCTGGGTAATCTGTTCCCGTGTTTCACTACCCTCCAAGCAAGCAAATGCTTCCTAATATCTATCCTAAATTTCCCTTGCTGCAACTTGACACTGAGCTGCACCAAACCCACTGCAATGCAAAAGGCCCAAGCCCTTCCCTCCCCATCCCTTCGCCTCATTGAAGAGCTTGTTCCTGCCTCCTAGTAGCGCCTAGGTGACGAAACCGGGGCTCATTCATGGCCGGGTTCCCCTTGTCTTTCTCCTCCCCTCGCTGGGCTGCTTTGCCTGCCCCGGTGCAGCGGGGTCCGCGCGGCTCCCGCTCCGGCTCCGGCTCCTGCTCCGCGCCTCGAGCTCCCCGCCCCCGGCTCCTCCCTGCGCCCACTCCGCGCCGTGGTGCGCTGGGAGGTGGGACGGCGCCGGGCTCAGCGTGATTTACGGCTCTGCTGAAAACGGCTTTACCCGTAACATCAGCCCCGGCCGCGGCAGCGGCAACAAGTCAGGTAAGTGGTGCTCGCTGCAGCGGGGGAAGGCGACGCGCCTGCTGCAATCTGGGCGTGCGTTTGCTAATGCAGGGAAGCGTGCGGGGCAGATGGACGGAGCCCGCAGCCCTGGCACAACTGGGGCCAGGCCGCCTGACCTGCTGAATGGAGCTGTGCTGAGACAGGCACCGGCGGGCTGGACCTCGGCCAAGCCTGTGCAGAAATAGTGACCTTGTCTCGCTGAGCCCGGCGTGCCCTCTGCCTGACTGCTGACCCCCTGTGTACACCCCACCTTTGTCTCCTCGAGCCTGCCAGGGTGCGAAACTCCCAGCCCAGTCCTGGCACCTCTCTGCATCCCGATCTGTACACATCAGTAGGAAATTTTGCATCTGTTGTCTTGCGTGAAAGGGTTAGGTCTTCTTGCTTGCTGCTCCACGTAACTAATGCAGCCATCTCCCTGGCCTTGATCTGTCAGAAACAGGAATAACAAATGAATGTCAGAAAAAAAGTATAGTAAGATATTAATTTCTGAGTGCACAGCACTACAAACTAAACCTTTCACATCACTTTCTTGTACAGTCTGCTAAACAAGTTCTTTAGGGTCATGTTTCAGCTTCTCTAGTGAGCATATAGCAACTTCCCTAGTTTTGCAATAACAAAAAATCTTTGTAACTATTTTGTTGTGTCACTTTGGGATGAGACGTCTCTGGTTGCTTTTCCCAGAAGCAGGCTTGAAAATTAGTTTAAAGGCTTGTTCAGGGTTTTCCTCCATGGATTGTATTAGTGGAATATGTGCACTTATTTTTTTCATTAAGAGATAAGGGCTTCTTTTAAAACAACCTTCAAATGAATCCATCTTTTCTTTCTTACAGGAATCTGAGAGTAATGCAACAGAACACTTTTGAAGAAAGCAGATATTCCTGGCAAGAATCTTTTGAAAATGTCAGTATCTGTATGCCATTTCGTTGCCCACGGTGTGGTGACCACACCAGATTCAGAAGCCTGTCTTCTCTGAGGGCACATCTGGAGTATAATCATAGTTACGAGGACAGAAGTCTTTTGACAAAATGCAACCTACTCTCCTCCCTCAAAGATGCAGATTTGCTTTCTTCCTCAGAGACCTCAACTCAAGGAAAACTGGGGAAAGCCAGCAATGCAATAAAACAAAAACCAGCCTACGTAAATTTTTGTGATGCATCACATGAGAACACAAAAAATAGAAAATTGCTGGAGGTGGAAGCTGAAAGGCCTGTCTCTTTTGTCTCAAGTTACATGCCAGCAAACTCCCCTGATGAGCAAATTTCTAAACCTGGGATTCCCACAACAGACTCAAAAGCACCTTTTGAGGCACACGTAAGAGAAAAGTTTAATATGATGGTGGAAGCTGTAGATAAAACAATAGAGAAGAGAATTGACAGGCTTACCAAAGAGTTGGCCCAAAAAACTGCTGAACTGCTGGAAGTTCGGGCAGCTTTTGTGCAGCTGTCTCAGAAGAAACAGGAAGTTCAAAGGCGAGAGAGGGCCTTGAACAGACAGGTAGATGTTGCAGTTGAGATGATTGCAGTGCTGAAACAACGTCTCACAGAGTCTGAGGAAGAACTTCACAGGAAAGAAGAGTAAGTAGAAAGGCAAAAGAAGCAGTGTTAATGGCTTTGTATGTGCTTGGAGAACAGATGTAATATAAGAAAATATCTAGATGGAAAAAATATTTACAGGTACTGCTACTTTACTGGTTATGAAAGAATGTAAATGAGGGTGGGTCTGGTGTTTCTTGAGTTGTAAGCAACCTGATGCTTCTATTGACAGAAAAGTGCATTCTTCAGCAAAATGGGTTTCCTATTAGAAAGCAGTGCTTTTTGGTCACAAGAACCCTTCTGTCAGTACTACATTACAGTGCTAGCTTAGGAAGCACCTCAAGAAATGCTACCCTCAGTAACATCGTAATGTGAATGACTACAGTGGGATGGCACGGGTGTAAATGATATTAATAACTGACTGAACCTGAGGCTATAGCTACAACTTGCAATGTAGTATGTACTGATACCCAAGCTGGGTAATGAAATATCATCCTGGTAAATCAGTCCTGTGGATTGTTGCACTACCATGGCTATTACTACTTCTGGTACCAGAGCTAGGTCAAATCGGAGTTAGCTTGACTATCTCCTACGTGCCACTACATTGTGTGGTGTGGACATCCTCTAACTGATATGTTCTAGCACATAACATTTTAAAAAATAAGGGTTTAATAGGTGATAGGTGGAAATCCTCTTAAACCTGTTGAATACTATTCTCTGAGTAGTCCTACTGAAGACAGTGGGCCTATTTTTTGGAGGAAGATACTGTCAGTGTGAGCATTATCATTTGCCTCTGTCCAAGGGCCAAATCATGCCCTGTGTTGTCCTACAGTAGAATTTTGCAGCAAGGCAGCGTTATAAGGCAGTGCTCAATAGAACCCATATAGAAAGATTTTATTGGGAATTGGATCCATAAAAACAGATCTGTTTATTACTAGAACCAGAAGCATATTCTACACTCATTTTTACAAGCCCAGTCCTTCTAAAAATATCTTCATGATGCATCTATAAATAATGTACCAGGTTACTACATTTTTAATGTCTGAACTACTTCCTTTTATTTAGCATTCTCTGAAACATTTTCGGGCAGTTTGGAGTAACAACATTATTTTTAGGAAAATGCATATTTTTGATAATATAATGAGATTTCATTAGCTTAAAAATAAATTGTGTTGAACACCAGTGGACATACCAGTAAAAGACATAAGATCTCAAACAAGGGAGTTGGTGTGGGAGTTAGTATTCCCTAGCCTAAAAAAGAAGGGATGAAAATCCCCCAAACTCCCTCCTACAAAGAGAGCATGATGATAACTCCTGGTGCAACGTTACAAGAGTAATGGAGTAAGAGATCACAGAAGTGACTGGATACATAAGTTATGGGATGTATATTATCCTTGAGGGGTTCTTCATGGAATTTCTATCTGATATTTCCCCTGAAAGAGCTATGGAAGACGAGAGTTGAGGACTAAAGATGTAGCTGAATATGATGGTGGAGTTCAGACAGTATCTGAAAACATGATGATGGTAGGAAGATGAAGGTACCTTGAATGTTCAAGGATTACAGACCACTACTAAACAAGGAGATCTGGAGTAACAGATGGCCCACAGAAGAATGCGTCCACAAGTATAAGACGGAGAAGAGACCATCTAGTGGAACAGAAACACAGTTGAGCAACTGCTCTCTAATTTCTGCTAAAGAGAGGAGAGACTGGATTCCAAGGAAGAGGAAGATCCTATATAGGGGACTGCTAAAAAGAACGGAAAGCAAGATGAACTGCTTACAGAAGAATGAAAAGCCTGAGGCTCACACCTGAGCCTGAGGTCTATTTGATCAGGAACTTGTGACTAAGATGAATTGTCAAGCCTGTCACCAGAAATGAAACAATGTGCTGTCCTCTGGGAGCACCCAAGACGTAAAGGGTCCAGATGGAAGTAGGGAAAAGTCTACTTTATGATATCAGAAATGGCAGTGCCAGATTCTTGCTGACCTGGAAAAAGATACTCAAAGAAACGAAGGCTTAGAAAATCGTTAGTGAAATTTGTTGGATAAATGAAGGAAGGACAAGATAATGGGAACTGAGATTTGGTGCTGAAAGGAAAGCTTTGAAATTCCTTACCACAAGGAAGCATTCTTAGAAAGAGGACTCTTCCCAATGGACTGATTTCCCCTGAGTTATTGGGGTGTGTACCTGATGAATGTTTGAGAACCTTAGATATACAAATCTTCCACTCTTTTTTTTTTTTTTTAATATTGAAGGAATTGATGATTCTAAATGTGGTGCCACCCTGTCAACCAATTCATGAAAGATGGCAACAATTTCTGACGGGGAAAAGAAGCAGAAGACACTCCCTCATTTTGATCTGGAGAAGTGAGGACATCCACAGTAGATTCATTTAATTGTGATCTTCCTTTTGTGTCAGCAACTACTATTGAAGATTTGCCTCCTTCATAACAGATCAATCAGAAATACAACACAAGGAACCAAGGGAAATTGAGGTTGACTAGAATATTGTGTTCAACGTGGGTTCAGGTAGAAATGAACAGACCAATAGAACCAACTCAGCCAGAGAGCAGTTGATCTGTCCATCCAAGATCCATCGTCAGATCCACCTCTTAAGCTTAGCCAAAAGGAAGAAATTGTTAAAGATTCCAAATGCCTTTCCAAGCAGGATTCATCAGTTGGAACTCACAAAAGAAGTGAAATTGTTAATCACTGAATGATTATGTATACTGCACACAGCAATGTTCAGTAGAGATACACAATCTAGCTTTAAATGAGCTAGCTTGACTAGATTGGGATCAGTCTAGCTATGGTATCATTAAGTCTGCGGGAGCTAATTTCCCATCTCTTAAACAACACTGATGGTCCTGTGTCCCTAAATTTCCCTGCTTTCTTGATGGAGTAAGCTAGCCTGTGTGGAATTCCATATAGCCGTAGCTAGACTGCTTCTGGCATCTGAACCAGTGTGGGTATTTTACAGTACATTGCAGCCTTGCAGTCTACATATAGCCAAGGAGACACCAGGATGCCACCATGAAAAAAGCAACTATATTACTTGGTAAGTGGCATTACCAGGATATATCAGGAAAAATATTTGCCATAGAGGCAGGGAAGTATTAGTGCCACTGTACAAGATCCTGAGGAGATCTCATCTGGAGTATTGCATACAGTTCTGGTCACCTGTGTTCAGGAATAATAAATCCAAATTGAAACGGAGGCGGATGGAAGAGGACAACTAGATGAATAAGATGCTGCTTTGCAACAAAGATTAAAACAGCTTGGCTTGTTAAGGTTTAGCAAACCAAAGGCTAAGTAGGGATATAATTACTTTATGTAAATATATCAATGGTGTAAGAACTAGGAAGTGAGAAAAGGTAAGGGATAGTGTTGACAGAAGAACAAGCGGGCATAAACTGGTCAGGGGTAAATTGAGGCTGGAAATAAGAGACTGTAAGTGGAGAATTATAACAGCCTGAAACAGACTTCCAATAAGGGTAGCAGGGCAATGTCAGAGGTACAGCTGGAATATCATATAACTGTGTGGTCAGGCCTTGACTCTAGACTAGAGGGTCTCAATCCAGGGGATCAGGAATAAACAAGGTCAGGGAAGCAAGGGTCCCAACTGCAGTCATGGGATCAGGAGCAGGTACATGCTGAGGTCTCTAAGGGACTTGGATGTGGGCATCGCCTTGGGTAGAACTAAGGGTGAATTCAGGGGTAGGGGAAAATGTGGGGCTCAGCAGCAGTATTCACCCCTGGGGCTCCAGAGCTGGGTGAACACAGTGGTTCTGGCAAGAGCCCGAATTGACCAGCTAGTGAGCTCAGAGAGCTCCTTGCCCAGGTGCAGCCCTCCTAAGAGCCCATGCCAGCCAACCAGGAGCTCAGAGAGCTAATTGCACATGTACCGCACAACTGAAGGGCCCTCCCTCCTTTCCTGGATCCACCATCTCCATCCTGGAGATGATCCAGCTCTTGCCAAAATCAGTGGGAGTGCTGCCATTGTCTGTGTTTGGCCCAACGTTTTGTGTTCTTTCAAGAACAAGTAGTTCCATTAACCTCAATGGGAGCAGTGTTAGACTGGAAAAATAGCAAAATTATAAAGTTTGGGTTAACACCCCACTGGCCTGAATGTGAGCAGTTTATGCCTCTTTAAATGCTGTTTTAGGCTGTCAACACACTCAGGCCTTGTCTACATACAGATTTTGTATTGTATAGCTATTTACTCCTTTGGATTCTTTTGTGTATTTATTGCATCTTTTCTTCTTAAAAAAAAACAAAAACCCAATAGAGTTATGCAACTACAACTTAAAGTGTGGACATAGATGTATCAGAATACATTGTATCAGAATAAATTGCTTTTTCAGTTGTGTATTATTCCCCTCACAGGAATAGCTTTGCCAAACTAAAGTACTTTTACCTTGGTATAATAATAGGGATAAAATGACTTAACCATAATGGTAACAGTAGTTAACAGTAATATGGTAACATGATTAACAGTACACTAGTTTTGTGCCTAGATAGACATTACTGCAGATGTCACTGCTGTGGTTATTCTATTCACAGTTAAAAAAGCCAAGAGGGCAGAAACTTTTATTTTGAAAATGAAAAATTAATATTCTAGTGCACTAGATACATTTTAATATTTAATGTTTGATGAAGAAGAAAAAGACTCATTGTGAACACTGTGATTTTGAGAATAATGCAGAACCTGCACACAGGAAATACCCATTGAATGTGCTAGCAAGAAGACAACAGAAGCTAAGTGAAACAACGAACTCAACTTAAAAGGAGCATCTAGAGACTTCTTTCTGGAAAATAAGGGGTTGCACTGATATAATAAAAAAAATAATCAAGCAGATGAGGTTTGAGTTCAATGAATCTAAACAGGATGGCATGTAAAGTAAGGAGACTTTTGGCTGGCCCTAATTTCAGGATTTGAAAACATTTAAAAGATTAGGTAAATAATCTAATAAGTAACTGTCTGCCTTTATCATTGTTATGCCTAAGAACAACAGACATTCTGTAGGAATGCTTTCTTTA